AGAAAGTAAAATGTTCACAAAGATGAACTTTAAGCCTTTAAGCTCTTCCAGATAAAACTCTTGACCCAAGAATGACGGCAACATGGATTTACAATTTCTGTTTTTTAATCTTGCTGCAGACAGTATAGGCAGAGCCACTCTTAAATGGTTTGAAACATAGTCCAACATTTTGGGATCTAAACCACATATGAGGAACACACTGTTAAGAAATTACAGGAAAGGTAATGTGATGATGCAGATCTTACCTTTCCAGGCAGGTTTGCGGTAAGGCAGCTAATCCTTTACACATTTTCCAACGCTTTCAATTGCAGTAGTTATTAGTGATAGTGATTTCAGTCTTCCTGTTAGCTGACCGTAAGTCTCAGAGTCCCTTTTGCTTTCTGACTCTGGCTTTCAGCACATGGGGAGTTTTATACAGACGTCCTTTGGGCTTTGGGCCAACAGCTAAGCCAATCAGACTGGAATGTGTACAGTAGAGCACGGGCAGCCTGGCTGAGGAAGGGCGGGTTTTCAGATGTGAATGGCTGTTTGCTTTGAGGTTTCAATTAACCAACAGATCCAGCACCAGTGTGAAGGATGTAGATTGTGGCCATTTTTACTTATTTTAGAGTTTAGTGCACTTTCTAAATTTTTATGTTAGGTGCTACTGTATTAATCATAAAGGTTATCTCAACTTGTCAGTGAGGATTAGTTATATTTTCATTAATAAACCTCTAATTAACATGTCTTAATGTTTTTAGCATTTGTTAGTTGTGAAGAAGAATAAAGCAAATAGGCATTCAATTAACGTATCATCCTTTTCATGGTTTGCCATTTTACTGCTTTATACCGCAATGGCCAGTAACATTGTTGCATCCAATCTACAGTGTCATCTGCATAGAGACACCCACTCAAAACTTTTTAAAGTCAAACTCTGTTACTCATATTTTGTGTTTTAACATGCAGTTTGAGCAGATTTACCTATTTGACCAACTTTGAAAAACGGAAACTGCTAAAACATATACCATTTAAATTATGTTTCAACTTGGCCTTTAAAAAAAACTTATATAACCCATTTCCCCCTCAAGATCTGGTTAAGTTTAAACAATTGCATGGTTAAAGTTAGAAATATTACGATTCCTGAGTTCTGGGACCAATACCTGATGCTTTAAGAATAAGATAAGGATACAAAAGAAGGTTTCTCAAATGTTAAGTGTTGTCTAAACATAAGCAGATGCAAAAAGCAAAAGCAATTGGGTTAATTCAAACAGCCTTAAACTTTGATTATAGAGATCCTGACTTCAAAGAAACAAAATCACGAATCTGACCAGACATTTGATCCCAGCTTCTGGTATTTTGATATTCACTGCTAGGTTTTGGTCAGTACCAAAAAAGAAATTAGGTTTATTAGACTTAGACTTAGACTT